CAAGTCAACCGTCTCTGCATCTCGCCCGACAAGCGCTTCCTCGCCGCGGCCGGCCACACCTCTGTCAAGCTCTACGACATCAAATCCACAAACCCGAACGCACTATTGACCTTCGAGGGCCACACAGGCAATGTCACTGGGGTTGCTTTCCACTGCGAGGGAAAATGGATGGTGACAAGCTCCGAGGATGGGACTGTCAAGGTTTGGGACACGCGAAGTGGAACTATACAACGGAGCTATAGCCATGGCTGTGGAGCAAACGATGTTGTTATTCACCCGAACCAAGGCGAGATCATAAGTTGTGATCGCAGCGGTAGCGTGCGTGTCTGGGATTTGGGCGAGAACAATTGCTCACACCAACTAATTCCCGAAGAAGATGTGTCGGTCTCGAGTGTGACAGTCGCTAGTGACGGCTCTCTCCTCTGTGCCGCCAACAATGCCGTAAGCACCACTCCCTTTCACCGTGCTTGTAATCACGCAACCTCTCTCTTCAGTTATGTAAACTAATGTTTCTCCCCTAACAGGGCAATGTTTTCGTCTGGTCACTTCGCCAGGGTGACGTGGGCACTGAACTTATCCCACTGACGCAGTTCTCGGCGCACAAGGAGTATATCACTCGAATCCTCCTGTCCCCCGATGTCAAGAAGCTCGCGACTTGTTCAGCAGATCACACGGCCAGAATCTGGTCCGTACCCCTCATCGATCCCGACTCGCCCGAAACCCCTATGATGATGACAAACGGCAGCGGTGCGCAACAAACACTACTTACCAACGGAGATGGCGGACCCAAACCTTTCCCTCTGGAGGCCACGCTGACCGGCCACCAGCGCTGGGTCTGGGACTGTGCCTTCAGCGCTGACTCGGCGTATCTGGTGACAGCTTGCAGCGATCATTACGCGCGATTATGGGAGCTCGGCAGCCAGACGGTTATTCGCCAATACAACGGGCATCACAGAGGCGCTGTATGTGTTGCACTGAACGATTACTCGGAGTCTAGATAGCCCCTAGTTCCGCGCGTTATACGGGACTGTACGATTTGGGTTCATGCCGATTTTGAACCTGACTCTGATGCCTGTAGTGTAAACAGCCTCTAGAGCAACATTGATATCCTGGGTTGTCGTGGATAATACTACCCTGCTCGCAGTGACTATCCCTAGTTATGCTGCGCCGAGCGCTTAGCCTGGAAGCTGGCTGTATGAGACATGAATGCAAACGCTACAACCGAAGGCCTTGCTGTTAGGAATTACGTTGATTTTCCACCTGAGGATTACTCTTTCAGGGGTTAGAGTGATACCTATTTTATAGCGGATAGGAGTTAAGGCAGGCCTTACGGCCACGGGCGGGATGGAACGAGCCGGGAATAGGTTGCTGGTGTATGGAGTGGTAACCATTTGAGGCACAGCTTTCCCCCACTGTGTATACTGTTAGTAATGCGACGTGTTCGTGTAGATGTCATGGGATGGAAGTTTTACTTAGGTTGTTCATTAAGCTCATACTGACGAGCCGACGAACGAGGCACGCAGGCGTGTAATGGAAGGCGGCGTGTTAGGCGGTTTAATACGAGTATGATAACAACTACTTCTTGATCCGACTGATGGAATTCTTAGTCACTTGTTCTATCATGTGATAACAACACTAACCATACCATAGATGAGATGATCACTATCACCACCATCAACAGCACCGGAAAAAAGGGAGCAAAAAAGTGAAAAAAGAGCCATCAAAATAGTATTGGTATGTCCAATAACAGACGCCCCTTTTCCGTCCATTTATGCTATGTCTCGTGCTATCCAGCTGCGCAAAGCTCTTCTTCTCTATTATATTACTTAGGTACTCGAAACGCCGTGCCCATGCTGTATATATCATGTCGCTCCAATATCATAGGTCATTGAACTCCTTCGGCCCCGTTCATTATACATGTCTGCTGTGCTCCGCATCTTTCCAGCTGTCGTCTCTTCTATTCAAACTTTCGCTCTTAGGGTTATCTACTATCCACACGCGTAAAACTAATGTTAAGCCGGTGAATTCTGGCTCCTGGGGCTACGTGGGTAGGCGGGTGGGTAGGTACACCTGCTGTCTGATGCACAAAACACTCTCACCACCCGTCTCCCCATCCATCGTCGTCGCCGCCCGTATCCTTGGGCTTCATGTCGATTTTCTTGCTGGCGGCCGTTTTAGTGGCGGAAGCAGATCTAACCGCCAACGGCTTCTTGCCGGCGGGGCTGTTCTTCGCCAGGCCTTTCGGCAGAGGCTTGGCACCGGCTGCACCTGGGGTCTTCTTCTGCGCTTGGGCGGCGAGCCAGCCCGCGAAGTCGGGCTCCGAGTCGTCGTCGAACGGTTTGCTAGAGACTACGGGCGCAGTCTTCTTCTTTGCTGCCTTGCTGGTTGTTGTGGTGGTAGTGGTGGGGGTGGTGGTGGCAGTATTAGTAGACCAGACATCCGTCGTGCTGTCGCTGGGCTCGCCCCAGGCGTCCCCTACGTCGTCGTCGTTCATGTCGCCCATATCACCCCATGCGTCGCCCGCGTCGTCGTCGGCTTCGGCGGGCGACGGATCTGCGAAGTATGTGTCTGGCGCCGTCATGCTCGAATTCCGCGATAAGGGCGCGGGAGAAGGCGACTTCACGGCTTGGCGGTGGAGTGCTGAGGCAGAGGATGTGGAAGGTACCGCGCGCTTGGGCTCGGAACCTGTTGATGGCGAGGTGGCCTGGGGGGTCGGTGCCCCGTTGCTCGAGGTTTGCATCTCGCCGGATGCGGCGGATAGCTTATTGGTGAAGGAGGAGATGGCCCAGCCAGCCCAGGAAGACGCCTCGTTGGATTGTGGCGTGCTCATGCGCGGACCGGCGCTATCTGTGGTCTGGGATGGTGGGATTGCGGTATCGGGCATGCTCGCTGCCGCCTTGCGTATCCGTTGCAGGTAGATATCCATCGTCTTGCTGGCCTGGTCACGGACCAGCTTTTCCTTGTCTATTAGGGCGGGGCAAACAAGAGGTAGAATCCTCGCTGCACAGTCTTCCTCAGTGAAGTACTCCCCAGTCGCTGCTAGCGCCATCAGGGCCGCATTACGCGCATGAACGAAGGGGTCTCGGAGTGATCTCGTGAATGCGGCGATGAGGACTTTGGACCGGCTAGAAGAACCTAGATTCTTGGCGATTTTACCTAGACATATCGTTGTATTTGTTCGGATTCCCGGCTGCTCGTCGTTTGCCGTCTTGGCTAAATATTTTAGTAGCTCCCCGTTTATAACGCGATCCGACAGTTTGTGGATGACGACAAGAACGGATTTCAGCGTCTGCTCGCGGACTATGGGAGCTAGGTCTGTAAAGCCGGATACCATATTGGGAAATATTTTATCGTTTACTACTTTTTGCGAAAGCCTGTCGATCATCAACGGTAGGTTGTCTAGTAGACACACTCTTATCGCCCTGTCTGGGTTTCCAAACAATCGGACCACGACGGGTTGAACTCGAGCCTCAAAATCCTCGTTTGTTAATTTAGTAGCTATCTTCATGACCACGCCAAACGCCTTGGGTCCACCGCCGCCAAACTCGACGGATTTTAGTAGCTCTGGTAGCACCTTCATCTTAAAGAAATCCTCGGGAAAGTCGTCTGTGAGCTGGTCGAGGCTGTCGAGAAACTCTGCCCTCTCTTCCTCCGACTTGACATCTAGGTTGTCAATACCCTCGGTTAACTTGATCAGGGGAGAGTCGAAGAAACCACCTGAACGCCGGCCCTGTTCGAGGAAGGCCTTCACGGTGATCCTCGCTTTCGGGTTCGCGTTCACGAGTCTTTTGTAACCCGCGTGCATAGTCGGCGGAATTCCTTTTGTCTGCCCTGCCTGTGACGCCCCCGTAAAATCGCCATTGAACGCTTCGTAAATAGTGGTGCCAAAATTATAGGAATCGACAGCAGAATGCGGGCTCTTCTTGATGACGTCCCAACCAGCCTGTACCAGCTCAGGGGGTGTAAATCTGTTCGAATCAGGTACTAAGCTGCCATATCTATATATTATGGCCTCGTCATCCTTGACGTTACTGAGCACCTCGAAGCCACCTAGCTTCCACTCGCCGCTCTCGGACGTGTAGATGGATGCGACCCTCAGGCTACCGTGTATAGACGAACCCTCATCGTTGATAAACTTGATCGTGCGCGCGATGCTGAATAGGCCCCATTTTATTGTCTCCGGGCTTAAGCTCTTCCTCTTAACGTGCCATCGCAGCGGGACAACGCGCTCGGTTGCTATGTATATATACGAGTCCGTCTCGACGGCGTCTAGGACCTTGATAACGCCGGGGTGGCGCATGGTGCGAAGTTTCTTGAGCGCATTCTTGGCGAGGGGCAGTCGAGACTTGTTGGCGGTGACATCGAAGGAGAATATGCTGCAGTTCGACCCGTCGGCTCGTCGCGTACCGTTGTACAGCGTCCAAATGGAGGTGTCGATATCAACCTTGTCGCCAAAGGAGTAAGGGAACGGCGGGCCTTGCGCCGCCATGGCCGAGGCCACTGCCGACTTGATGAAATCCATATTGGTGTATTCAAACCATCCGTAGGGTAGGTATTTATTTATCTCAACGTAGTAATTACCAATGGGAGTTGCGTATGTAGCCCACCCAAGTGGAAAGAAAAAAAGACTGGATAAGTGAGGAAGGTAATTTAAGCAGTTGTCGTGATATCTACTACGTATCTTTTTTCTTTTTGTTTGGTTGTAGATACTCTAGGTAGGTAACGAGGGATGTTGTTGTTCTTTACCTACTTGATTTGGTTGACTTGTCCACTAATCTATGACATGATAGGACGTTTAGGTTGATCACATACCCCTCCACATATGCAGCCACTGCATCGATCCAGGCACTTGTTAGTGTAAAGTTTAGCGGAGCTTGGAATATTTCCAGGCCATTACCCCTATAACGCCTTCCCCTTTTATCATGAGCACCCTACTACCTATTCACGCCTCTTGATTCAACCCGATCATAGAATGTATAAATTCCTCACCTGTTATCATTGGTCGGTTAGCTCAGTTGGTTAGAGCGTCGTACTAATACTACTACAATTGTATCAAGTAATGCGAAGGTCATGGGTTCGACCCCCATACTGACCAGCTGCCGTTATCTTTTGCTCTCTGTTTTATCGTTTTTGATAGAGGAGGTACATCATATTCTATGTTTTGCACAAGAACGTGAAATCTTTGTGAGCTGTGAAGAGTGTATCTTGTCTTCCTTATACAGCATTAGCTACAGGTACACACCTTTTTCACATCACACAATGTTTAGTGCATCACTTCCCATCTCACCATTTCGTAGCTACACATTTGTTCTGCACATTGGCGAGATTAGATTTAAACAATAGCTAGTGTGACTAAGGTATTAACTTGTGAGAGAAACTTCGAAAGCTCTCGCTACTAAGACTAGGTATTATCAAGAGGACGGGATCTTGAACCCACTCGTCCTTGTTGTCCAAAAGCCGGTAGGATCAACCTCGGCCTGCACTCTTCTCGCAAGGGCCAAGTTCTCAGGCTTCAGGCGGCCGAAGTAGTCTTGCGGGTAGAAGCAGTCGTTCTGGAAGAGTGGCAGGTAAACATCCTTGGGCAGCACCCCGCTGTCCTGGTAGTCCTCGACGATGGTCTGGAAGCCAGTGTAGGTGTCGCGCATGGTCTGGTCGATGGTGGGGTAGGAGAGGTTGCTCCAGAAGCTGTAGTCGAGCTCAAGCACAATGCGGTCGATGTCGGCGTCCACGTCGATGAGGTCGCCGCCCTTGGCCGCGGCCACCTGCGCCAGGCGCTTGGGCAGGGGCTGGAAGGCGACGCTGGCGATGAGCCCCGGCACAAGCGCGGCCTGGTTGCTCACGTTGACCCAGTGGTCGAAGATCTTGCCCATGACCTCGGGGCCGTCGGCGGCCGAGGGCAGCGGGATCGTCTCCGTGCCGATCGTGTACACGCTGCCCTTGACCACGGCCCAGTTGTTGCCGCTGAGCAGGCTGTTCATGCTCTGCGTCTTGCACGTGTTGATCTTGAACGGCGTGATGTCGAAGAACTTGTCGAACACGCCCGCCGGGCGCGAGGGCCCGTTGTAGTACAGGAAGATGACCCAGATGTCCACCAGCGTGGCGACCGTGCGCTCCGCCGTCACGATGATGCCGGCCTTCTCGTCCGTGTAGTTCTCTGTGAAGTCCCGGACTGCCGCGAGCATGGCCGTGCTGACGTCGTCTGTGGCGTCGAAGATGAGGTTGCCGCCCCATACGTCGCCCTGGGGATACGCCTGGAGCGTGTACGATGTGACGATGCCGAAGTTGCTGCCGCCGCCCTTCAGAGCCTTGAATAGGTCGGGGTAGTTGCTCGCCGTCACCTCCACGATGGATGCGTTCGCTAGCACGAGCTCGTATGCTAGAACCGAGTTGGCAGCCCAGCCGTACTCGGTGCTCATGAAACTCAAGCCACCTGTGAACATTGTTATGAGTTATATGCTTCTGCGCAAGCCGGTTTGTGATGAGTCTCACCTCCTAGCATGTAACCACCAACACCAACGTTGCCAATTCGTCCACCAACAACGATGTATCCGGAGCCATCAAGCGCCGCCGAGACTTCATCCCATCGGTTTCCAGGTCCAACCTTGACAGTCTCCGATGCGGTGTCGAGGATTACCTGGTTCAAGTTCTTGGTCGAAATCAGAGGGCCGCCATCGATACTGGCGAAGTGGTTGTTCGGGTTGTGGCCGCCTGACTTGACAGCGAACGTCTCGTTGTTGCTAGCCAGGATCGAGACGATAGCCGCGACCTCCTCCGTTGTCGTGGGCATCAGGATACACGATGGCTTCAGAGCACCGCAACTTGTCGACCAATACTCGCTCTGCTCCGTGGTGTAATCGATCTGAGGGTTTGTGTACAGGTCGATGGAGGTGTCACTGCCCACTAGAGCGCATGTGTTCTGAGCTGCTCCCACCGTAGCTAGGGCGGCCGCAGCCACAGCGAGGCTTTTCTTCATGGTAGATGAAGTCATCGTCTCTTCCCTGCACCTTGGAGTTCACTGGTGATACCTGGCGAGTAACCACTCCCTCCCAAAACCAGCGGCGCGCCGTAGGGCACCATTCTTATTATACCCTTTTCCCATACTAGGTAGCTAGCGCATCCTTACACTACAGGAGGGGCGATATTATCCTAGGAAGTTCAGCTGGCCTCGGCAGAGTAGCCAAACGAGGGACAATAATTTGCAAACCGGGAAATCCCACATGTGAACCATGCCTAGTTTCAAGGCGCAACCCTGGCGAAGTCACGACGCCGGGCAGAGTAGAGTACGACGTGGAGACATCTTATCATCGTATGAACCTATTGCGCGTCGCGTGATAAGTAGATATGTGATAATGGAACCCAACGGCAGGAAGCCGGGTTCCGCAAGGGCGGCCGCGATAGGTATTGCAGCCGCTGCCGAGGTTTCATGGATATAAGTATGCACTACACTAGTGTAGTGTATGCACCTATATAGACGCGAAGGGCCGTTCGTGTCCGTTGTCATGCGACGATAGCGTACTACGTCCGATGGGCTACGCTTACTCACTTAATTACTTACTTAAGTCTCCTCGCTTATAGTATGTACAGCGAAAGGTGGACAATTAACAAAACGGGAGCATTAGAACCTGGATGCGGACGCGGACCTGTCTAGCTTACTTAACACATGATGATCTGCAAATTGTCCTCCTTACTAAGTAAGCGCAGGCAGGGTTGTTCGCACGATTCCGTGCAGGGTGCAGAGTAAAAATAAGGTTCTGCCGACGTGGCAGGCCAGGCCACTGGAAGAGAATAACCATCATCACAGATTTAGCGAGTTCTAATATATGTAGATTGACGTATACTACGACACTCATATCAAGAATATCGTGCATCAATACATATACCACGTATTATATACAGTAACTCTCCCCCTCCAGAACGTATAAAAGTGGATCACTCAGTTATACGGTGACGTAGGTATTCAGCTTCCAAGTCTGGGGTACAGTACAACTGTAAGGGGTCTGTCTACCTATGCACACACATACTAGACTACAGTATGTATTAGTATGTCGGTAGTTATACATATATTACATTCGTATGGAATGGCTATGATAGGTATTTTGACCCCTCTCATCATTACTGTTTGCTGCTACGATTTCGGAAGTGTCAACTCGATTAGTTTGCGAGCTAGGAGAAAAATAAATACTAACTAATGATAGGTGACGGGATAGGGTTCGAAGTAGGATGGTAGTGCTGCGTAAAACGATGAAGCGATCTCCCGGAGCGGAGCGGACTTGGCTAGCCCGGTAGGATTAAAGGACGAGACTATGCTAAGCGAGGCATGGGGTCCAGAGCCATGCATTGCCGCATGACGGATCTAAATTCGCAAATTCCAATAGGTATGCTGGATAAGGTAACCAGCTCGAAATTGATTACGATATTCCTTTTCCTTGCATGCTGTACGTAGTAGAACTACCTAGGTATCTTACATACAGTATAGGCATCTCTCTCATTCTTTGGTTAGTGTAGTGTATGTACCTACGTTGCGTATAAATCATACGTGTACGTAAGCGGCCTCTTCTAGTTAAGATTCGCCTAGACCGGTGATCTGGATCGAGCTGTCAATACCTAGCTCTTAGCCCTGTGCACTATGTCGATACCAAGACCACACACCAAGGGTCGCCGACACACCAGGTAGGTGGGTATCGTCACACCTTAAAATTGGAGGTGCCGAGGCGGACCATATCACTGCGTTTTAATGACTTTGGTACCCTCAGCAGGCTCCAACAATTTCCATTTGCAGTCAATGTTCTCCTGGCGAAATCTCGCTATTATCCTCTCCGCAATCTCTTCAAAGTGGCTCGTCGCCAATGCGAGGATCGTGGGACCCGCGCCCGAGAGGCACACGCCGAGCAGACCCTCCTGCGTGCTGGGAGACATGGACTGTACAATCTCTTCTAGGCCAGGGATTAGGGTCTGCCGGTATTGCTGGTGGAGCTTGTCCTGCATGGCTAGGTTGATGAGTTCCGGATCTGGCGGTGACTGCCCGAGAGCGACAGGGAGCAGTGCAATGCGCTGCATATTAAACGTCTAAAGATATAGCAATGATTTGTCAGGCGCACATGTTCATGCAGGGACCTCGGATGTAAATTAGGTATTCTACTCACGACGTCTTGTCTGGGGTACACCTTCGGCAGCACTTCACGTGCTTTTGCTGTGGGCACCTCGAAATTGGGGATAATAGCCACAGCCTTGATCTCCTTCGACCACTGGAACTTGATGTGGTGTCCGATTCCATGAGGCGGCTCTGGTGGCCGCTCCCCTGTGTCGAGTCCACCAGCCGGTGCGGGTAGCACTTCACTTAGAGGGATCTCAACACGAGCAACGTCCTCGGGTGCAAGTGGTTTGAGATAGGTACCCACGAAGCCACCGAAGAGGGCAGCGCCCACATTGTCGGGGTGACGTTCTAAGTTCCAGTCATTAGCTCCCGCATTGGTAACAAGTGATGATTGGGAAATGAGAAAAGTTGTTCCATACCTATCATCAGACAGAAGTCAAATAGGCGACTTTCATCGAGATGGTGTAGGCCACCAACCTCCTTGCCGAGCATCACACCGGCCACGACAGCAGCTCCGGATGACCCCAGGCCACGGCCCAAGGGGATGGGGTTCACGATGTGCACGTGTGTCTCGACTGGAAAGGCACGTTGGTCGTGGCATCGCAAAACGTATAACGCAACGCGCGTGATGAGATTGGCGGAGGGGTCCAATGACACCTCTCCCGTCTCTTCACCCTCACCCTCGTAGGTTACCCGGCAATTGAGTGGGTGCTCTGACGATGACTTGGACCGGTCAATGGTGACCCGTAACTCGAGATATATCGACAAGGCCAAGCCGATGACATCAAATCCGGGTCCGATGTTAGCGGAGGAACATGGGGTCCGAATAGTGAAGGACTCCATGATGAATAAGATGCGTGTAGGTATTTTTGGCTTGGCTCACAATTGAGTTAGCTAGCTGAGTTGAAGAGATTTGAAAAAAGTAAGTGAGTTCGTTATTAACGGCTTCATCTACCCATTCAATGCCTTGTTCCTGGTTGTGAATCGATGTTTCTTTCCAC